GCCTCGGTGACACACTCGAAATTAAAAGAGTCAAGGAGGATCAAAATTCGTGTTCGTTGTTATTTCGTTGTTCGTAGATGCATTGTTCTAAACGTGTTTAACAAAATCTATTGAAATCACCTTTTAACGAAAAGGTAAAATTAGGCAAGTTTCAGTTATACTTTCCTAGTTCGTGCCGCTTCAAAAATAAATTCAAACTCTGAATAAGCGTGATAAAATGGCTTAGCGTTCCTCTTTCCCATACGATGGATTTAAAAAAAATTAGATCATTAATGATAAAAATGTACGATCTATTTTTTAAAGGAATCTCCACCGATTCTGTGGTGTAGTATCCCGTTATGGTTGTCATAACATATCATTTTTATACACTCTGTACACGTGTATAATTACGTTCGATAAAATGAGATCCAGAAAGTAGTGAAATCATTAAATGTAATCGAGTTTTCTTTCAAAATCATTGTCATTCTCCGAGTCATGTCTTCTCTTGCATTGAAGTTCCCTACATAAAAATTCATCCGACATGTCGCAATATTTGAAAATTTTATTTACTTATACTTGAATCAAGAATTTTACTTAGGTTGCAATAGCAACAGGGAGTTCCAGACATAAACTTCTTATTTTAGGAGTAGTTCTCAAAGGTTGGAGTATTTTGCTTGGACTTGGAGTATTCGACATTTCTCGAAGAAGAATCAATATTTCCCAAATCTCCTATGCACTTCCTCGCGATATGAAAACGACCGAAGGTCAAGACTGAATCGAAGGCACAAGAAATCGACGTATCAGTGAAAACGGAGTTCCTTTAAACTCTTAAAGGAGATTAAAAACAAGTTTATTCGACTTTGAAAAAATTTGAGCAACTCATATTCGTCTCGGCCGTCTGTGGTTAATTAGACCTCGACTGTCATTGGTGCTCAAACATCAACCTCGCTTGGAAAAGCCCATTTTCGGCTCTTGCTGTACGATCTACTATTTCCGCCCGATGCATATTCGCTAAGTTCAAAGATAGGATCGCTTTTAAGTAGGGCAACTCGCGGGGTGGTATCGCGTTCACAGGGACCACGTGTTGCGACGTGGTACTGCACAGATTATGACGTCAACGTTTCCGTCATTGAATCTCGAGTAGGTGGACACTAAATTCTTGCTACGCCATCCGCTACCCACGGTAACGTAGTTATCTTGGAAATTCCATTCTGATTCATAACCGTGAGGATTCCATTATACGGGGTGCTTATTGCACGCGGCTGCGGCCATTCGAAACCGGTAAACAGTGGACCGCTGAATTTGAACATAAATCCCCCTTAGCGACTCGAAAATGTTTGTACCCCGATGAATCGTCGAAGAGCGGAGGCGGTCACGGATTGTGGAATAACTAGTCTAATTGCGCATTGATACAGTTCAATACAGTAGAAATCCCGTTTTGACCCAGAGCTCTTCGGATCTTTTCATACGCGTTTCGGTCGGGAAAAAAGTCTCTTATTCGTTTCGAGAGCTGCAGCTTTTATAAGTTGTGCCCGAGCGACAAATGTTTTCAGGAGCGATTATTATTATTAGACCTCCGATTTTGTTCAATTATAAGAAAATTAAATGTACAACGATGTATGTAATGTATAAGACAATTTAAAATATCGAAAGCTGAATGAATATTTCAACGTTCAAATGATCACACGAATATTCGTCCGAAACACATATTTTGAACTGTTGCAGTAAATGTTTTATTTTCTTTTGAAGAAAAAATGATAATTACAGACGAATGAGGATTATAAAGTTGTTCGGCCTGTTTCTCTTAATGATCTACCTAATTATTACCAAGTCTAATTATTAATTTTGAATAATTAATTATTCATATGCTGAAGAACGAAGCTGTGCGTTTAAAAATATGTATAGGATTTTTCGTATAAATCCGCGGTTTACCGTTACCGAGCAAGCCATTAGATGATGGGAATATTGTTGTGAAAGAAGTGTTGATCTTATCCTATTACCGAGAAAGTTTAAAGAACTCGAAGCGACGTGCTCTTTTTAAAAGGATCAATGAGCCTGAAGAAGCTGAGATTGCGTCCCCCGCGTTATCCTTCCATGGATCGCTGGTTTCAGAACTTCGTTGTCATCTCTACAGAATATTTTTAGACCTCGTCGTTATCTCTATAAGATCCCTTCAGTTTTGAGGAAGCGGCCACAGTTCTCCATCATTAATTTCAATGAGTCCAGTTCGAACGAAGCTACAGATTAAGTCAAACGAGCTCCAGTTAATCTACTTTATTTCTCTCTTACGGCACCCTCTTTGCCTGGAAATTCTTTTCCCCCGTTTCGTAGATCTCAACGTTAGTCTAAGTTCGTGGATGTACTATCTGTATAGCTATGTCATAGTATCGTTGAAGCGAAATTATTGACTCATTTCGAAGACTCCAGAAAATGAACAGAAATTACTTTACGAAGTAAATGCTTCAGTCGTGTAAGAGTATGCTAGTTTGCTGGCTATGAACTGATTCGCTTCAGCCGATCTTAAAAGTAAGTTACGTCTCTGAACAGCACCCTACGAGTCGCTGAATTCAAGAATAATTTTCATTATGGCAAGTAGGCAAGTTTGAATATAGTTCGTGGCTATCCGTTGCGGAGTTCTATACCAACATCCTTTTGTATTTAAGTTAAATATGAAAATATATTCTCTATCTTCTATTTATTACACCGAAACTTTATCATCCTACCGATTTCTCTTTGACTCGTACCTGCAACTTTGTCCTAACTGCATCATACCTTTGAACCTTGTCCTCACCGCGTGATCCTCAATCTCTAACCCTGACATTCCTACCCGTACAAAAGTACAAACCCTAATCCCTACCACTTAAACGCGGTACCAACATTTTTACTTATTTATTTATTTATTTATTGATTTATTGTTTACACAACTAGACGTGTGGCTGCTAATGACGATATTTGAATATTTTACCGGCTTTCCCTCGAATCAGCGCGTCCTGTTCTCGAACCCTTTCAAGAACCAACCCTTTCAAGTGAGAATCCTTCTCCAACCCGAAGGACTTTTTCGCATGTATTGAAGGAATTGACGGATAACGGAGTTCAGGGTCAAATTCCGGTGTATTTCAGTGGTAAGAAAAATCAAACGTCTATTTTCCGGCGGCTATTAAAAGCTCTCGAGAGCACGCGAAACCAGCTGATCTTCCCCTTGCACCGTCTTCGAACAGGAGACGTTATAAGTTTAAAGCCTTTGACATATTTCGAAGATAGACGTACGTACATCGAAAAATGTCGAGTAGCTGGCTTGGCACGAAATCACCGTGCTTGCACGAGCACCGATTCCTGTCTAATCAGCTACTCTCGATCGTACGGCTAAATGGCCCGGACTATCCACCTCGAGAGGGATCTCGAGAACTTTGAATCGCGCTTGAAAACTCACTATAATACATACACTCCGGACAATCAATTTTTATATTAACCTCTTCAAGGACGAGTCATCGATTTAATTATTCTTTTTAACAAGAGTAATCTGTTTCTCACTCGGAGCAATTTTAACTTTCAAAAGACCAAACGTACGTAGCATCGCTGAAAAGGTGAAGCAATCTCATTTAATGTGAACGTCTCTGATCCTTTCCTTAAGCAGAGCTTCATAAAATAACTCATCACCCATTGAAGGTAGCGAAAAACGTTTTGAACAAAAGTAGTATATGTAGTATCGTATAATAGTCCTTCGATCGATTTTGTGAGGACGACCAAGCGAGAAGCGAAACGGATGGAGTCGTTCGATGATTTTTATCGGTTTGACATGAATACGTGTAAAAGGAAATTGAGCTTTCTCTCGAAGGATGAAATGACGGAAACAGGAAACCATTAGTTTACGAGAAAAATTATCATGAATATAGTGGTATTCGGCAAACCGCTCCCAGGTCACATCGTGGAATTTTTTGGCACTGGGCCTCTGAAGACCACTTGTGCTAATGACGTCACAGCTAAAGACGTCACGTGACGGCATTGTCATGTGTAATGTTCAATGTTTGACGGAATTAAGCAGTAAGAGGAATCCGTATGACGCATGCTCGAGTGCCGTCAGTTTTGAAAGGGTTTTGGCGCGGAGGCTCGTTCAGCAGGAGTGCAGAGAAATTTCCCGTAGCGAAAGGGTTAATACTAATTGTAAAGTGTTCAAGATATGTTGGCTGTGCTTTAAGTTTTCTTAATTTTACACGAGAGTAATCTGGCACACTGGTGTAGGAATATTTCAACAGATATCCGTGCTGGAGGCTGTTTCGTGAAAAGTCCAGCTGTCCTAGTCTTGTGATTTATGCGTTCCGCAAAGAACCCATTAGTAACTTCCTCTTCTTATATTCTCTTCTTGATTACTCCATTCGGTTTCTCGGCCTCTTCTTGAATGTCTATGCATCGCGCGGTCTACTCTTTTATCCCTGTCTCTCTTCTAGCGTGCACCAATCAGAGCACAGCAATGACGAGCGATAGAAAGATCAGTCCCCGCGCCCCGCGCGCGCGTCAGTAGCACGTTACAAGGGCTGCAAATGACCCGAGTGACAGCGACAGTATATTATTAAGAGGAGATTGAAATAACGAGTTTTCATTCTCTCGAGACGGAAGCGTCAAGTGAAAAATCGTTATTCTACGTTATATGTTTGGAACACTTTTTGCTACCCTCCTTCATCAATGAATTATTAATAATAAACTGTCGTTCCATTTAAAACTCTTGTACCTGTTGCGACTCGTAGGCACTCTCACTTCAGTCACTTGTTCCCCGGCGTTACAAGAAAGAATACGAATAAATGTGCATAGTCATCGTGACGACGAAGAGATTTATTAAGAACTGTTTAACAAATAATATGCAAGACTATATGATCGACGAAAATTCAAAATAAGCTCGACGTTTCATCGACTCATCGATAGATCGAAGGAGAACGACGGTCGATTAATCGAGAACGACGTCGACACTGTCGACAGTCGCAGTCACAGCTCGCAAGTCAAAGTCGCAGCTGGTCCGGGAACAGTAGACGACAGCAGCCAAGAAGAGGCCGCGAAACAATTAGTTTTTTTCCCCTCCCTCCTCGGTGTTCTGGCATCGACCTGAAAAATTCGTGTATATCGACATAAACAGGAATCGGCGAGCCGCGCACCGTTGACAAACACGTAGCACCGATCCGTCGCGCCCGCGTTTGCAGTGTGCATCTAACCTCAAAAAACATTCGTTTCCATTTACGTAGAAGTCTATCAGCGACGGACGAAAACCGTTTCTCCTTTCTCTCTCTCTGTTTTTCTCTCTCTCTCTCTCTCTGTTTCTCTCTCTGTCCCCGTCTCTTCTGCCTTTCTGATATATTTCCTACTCTCTATCGTTCTCCTGTTACGAAGCATACACGCAGTAGTGCGTAGTAGTACGTAGTGAGAACGCACCGAGAGGTGAAACGTGAAACACCGTCGATAAGGGAGTCTAAATTTAGTGGTAACACGAGTGCGCCGAGGTGGTGGACGTTTTTCTTCACGGCCGAAGAGAAGAGACACAAAATTTCGAAGATTCACGGTCTATGAGCGCCGAGGGTCGACAGGACCCTGGAGAAGATCACGATTCCAGGTCTATATCAGTTTACCTATTGCCTAGAACTTTCGTCTCCTTATCGATTTAACAACGAACCTACGCTATTTTTAACGCGCTTTGTTTTGGTGCAACGACTCCGCCGCTCGCGTTCCTCCTTCCTCCTGATCCTTTTCTGAACTGTCATTCCCTCCCCGGCACCGATCCGGCAACGTCGCCGATGACGCGTCAACACCATGTGTTCCTAATTGAACGAGCATCTACAACGCTTCTCGGCTTCTAATCGAGTCAGTCCGTCTTTTGTTTACTCGGCGGTTTAAACTTTTCGCCGATCTGTTCTACATAAACGATTTTTACGTTCCGCTTCTCCGCGGAGGAGATCCTTGCCATGCGAGCACCTTCACAGAGCGTTGCGAGTTTTTAATACACGATACGTAAGCACACGCGTATGCTTCGTAGGTTATACGTAGACTGCGGATTTTGATGCGTTTGTAGAAAGTCAGACGTGCAGAGAACCTGAAGACGTAACGTGGAAAATTGAACAAAACGTCGAGAGTGTAACGTACATCGATTTTAAATGCAGACTTCATTTTCTAAATTAATATCGCACGTTCGAATTGTCACGCATAAAAAAATCCGCGGTCTGGTTGTTCGTCAACCGACCGAATCGTCCGCTTGAGCACTCACGTAACGAAACATGTGTTTTGATTTTTTGTTCTAGACTGTCTAAAGCACTATTGTAATCCCCCGAATTCTGTTGTTAAATTGTTAGGGTAGGAGCGAAGAGCCCTTGCAGCGACATGAAGCGTGCGGTTGCCAAGAAATTGATCGAGCGATATTTTTATCAATTAACCGACGGATGTGGTAATCCCGACTGTGACAATCAAAACTGCGCGTCAAGTGGCAAAGTACATCGATACCGTTTAGACCGTTCGGAATGACCGTTCGAACTATTCGTCGTTTCGCGCGATAACTGACTGATAACGTGGTTCGTGTTTGAATCAGGTAACGAATCTGACGCCGAATCAAGCGGCGGCACAGGCGATTCAACTGTTCTCCCAGGAAGCGAGACTCTGCGATGGCACGCAACCGAGCAAAGTGGCGCGAACAACTTTAGAACCTGGCCCGGCGTCCTTGGCCAAGAGTCTGCCAGTTAAAAGCGTGAACCCGACGTGCTCGGACGAAGGTATTGCACCCAATCCCAACGTAACTCCTGCCCCTCCGATTACAGAGATCCAGCCGGACATGTCTAACGGTGCAAACGAACCGACCCCTCAAGCTCTAAAGAACGATACCAAGACTGCCCCACAAAGTAAAGTATCAGATATCGCGGAAGTTGCCGAAGAACAGATCTCGACGGAACCGAACGTTCCAATTCCGCTGCGAGGCAGTCGGTCGTGCCAGTTTTTCCCGCGAAACAGTAATCGTACCTCGAACGACGAAAGAGTATATATGTCGGAAGGAGATATACTTTTGAAAATGTTCGACAGATATAGAATTCGCATTCCAAGATACGACAGTAATAATAACGACGACGACGACGACGACGACGGTAATAATAAAACTGTCGGAAGACGAAAGAGGAGTAGGAAAGCGAGAAAAACGTACAGATCGAGGAAAAGGCGTAAGCGCAGAGCTCCGAAAAGATTAGTCAATGCGAAAACGGTTAACGCGAGATGCTGTTCTCGATTCGTCTCGAAATTGTTAGTCCTCAACTTGTACCTTAGATACTTGGAACGGGAGAGATACGCGAAATACGTTTAAAAACTCGGTAGATATTATTTTAGATTGTCCGTGAAATTTTTCTGTGGTTGTTGTGTACATAATAATAAACGTTGTATTTCATTCTCATTTCTTGTCATTTATTTCTAATCGGACGAGGCGCGTGATCGTAGAGAACGTAGCGTGCAAATTGATAGTAGAAGTGCGAGAGATCGTTTCATTGTCGACAGGGAAACAGGACCCGTATCTCACGGAAGCGAAGCTGTTGGACATAATCGAGAGATGTAAATCGGAGGGATCTTATTCGTTGTTGATTCGTACCTTGGGAGAAGTGTTCTCGTGCGCGAAGGCGTTGAGTCTCAGCTTCCAGAAGACCGTGAAGAATGACTCGCCGCTGGCCGCGCTACTGGACAGAGCTTCGGACACTCTGCTCAGGCCGCCCGGGGACATGGACAAAGAGGCGATTCGGTCTATCCAAGGGGAGGACAAAGAAGAGGACAGCAGCGAGCCATCGCCCACGGTTCCTAACAACGATGACACCAGCGTCGATCTACCGGCCGTGCGGAGAGCTTTCGCTGCTCTTTGGTCTCTACCAGGTGAGAAGACGTACACGTACGACTCGTTTGCACCATACGACGAACAGAAGCGTTAATGCAAACAGTTGCAAATATAATTACGAGTGAGTAACGTTCTGAATTGTCATGTCGTATCCAGGGGAGGTATTCAAATCCGCTTTGGTCAACGCACTAGTCACTTTGGCAGATAATATCGAATTAGATTTGAGAGTATTTCGTATCATGCCATGGGACAATATGGACAGCTTGTTGAACGTGTTCTTGATCGTGTTCGAGATTCCTATGCTCGGGAACAGCGAGTATCTGGAACTCGCTCTGCACATGCTTTGCAAAGCGCTCAGCTGTTTCCCCACCGTGGTACAAGCTAAACTGGCACGCGTATGGGCTAAACACTGTAAATCGCGACTCCCGAGTATCTTGCAAGCCCTTCAGGAATTGATAACCGTCAAGGTATACCGCGCCGACGATCGAAAACTCCAATACACGAATTTTTCTGGACTTTTATTTTGCACAGGTCATAGGAGGCTCGTTCACCAGGGATTATTGCGTTCAGGACGCGGACACCATTACTGCTCCGACGAAAGTGATGAAGATCTTGTACTACGCGAGCATGCTAGCCGGCGAGCTGGACGAACCTGATTTAAACACGGACGAGGACGAGTCTACGAGTAACGAGAAGACCGGAAGAGTGTCGCAAGTTCCTCAGGCAAGATTCCATTGATCAAAATTTCTCTCTCTCTCTCTCTCTCTCTCTCTCTCTCTCTCTCTCTTCTGTGAAAGATGATTATGCCGATTTACTCATAGGACCCTTTGGCCAAGGAGCTAGGAATCACCGCGTTGGACGCGCGAAAACCTCTCATACCTTTTACAGACTTTTATAACGAACCGCTCAGCGACGCGATAGAAATGGACAAAGATTTCGCGTATTACAAGAGCGAGGAGCCGATGAAGTTTAGCTTTATGAATTACGCGTTTATCCTCACGCCGGCCACTAAAACGTTGGGCTTATATTACGATAATCGCATTAGAATGTACAGTGAACGTCGGATGAGTTTTCTACAGAGCGTCGTTGGACAACCTGCCAATCCCTATTTGAGGCTGAACGTAGGTGTACGCGCGTTTCCATTTCCGTTGTGACTCGTACTAAAGGTTGTTTGATACAGGTGAGGCGAGATCGTTTGATAGACGACGCGTTGGTCGAGCTAGAGATGATCGCGGTCGAGAACCCCTCTGATCTCAAGAAGCAGCTGGTCGTCGAGTTCGAGGGTGAGCAAGGCGTGGACGAGGGCGGGGTTTCGAAAGAATTTTTTCAATTGATCGTAGAAGAAATTTTCAATCCCGACTACGGCATGTTCACGACTCAGGTACGACACCCGGTTATTGGAGACACGGGGGGGTTTCGATTTAGATCTAATATTCGAACGTCTCACAGGAAGACACGCAAATGACGTGGTTCAATCCGACGTCGTTCGAGAGCGACGCGCATTTTACGCTGATAGGCGTCGTCCTTGGCCTGGCGATATACAACAACGTAATACTCGACGTCCGCTTCTCCATGGTCGTCTATCGGAAATTGCTCGGTAGAAAGGGCTGCTTCGCGGATTTAGAGGATTGGAGTCCCACGTTATATCGGACGCTGAAGGAATTGATCGACTATACCGGAGAGGATATGCCCGAAACGTTCATGCAAACGTTCCGAGTAGCTTACAAGTACGTGACACAAGTATTAGCAATTATAACGCTTGCGGTCCTCGTCCAACGTATGGTTACAAGTTCCTTAATTGCCACACTGACAATGACTTCACGGGTAAAAAATGACAATCGGTGAAATTAAACTTAGAGTTACGCACGATGTTTCAGGGATATATTTGGTTCGATATCTTTCCACGATCTGAAACGAAACGGCGACGAGACGTTCGTCACGCAAGAAAATAAAAAAGAATTCGTAGACCTCTACGCAGACTTTTTACTCAACAAATCGGTGGAAAGACAGTTTAAAGCATTTAGGCGTGGCTTCCAAATGGTCACGGACGAGAGCCCGCTAGCACTACTCTTTAGACCCGAGGAAATCGAACAAGTACGTATATACCCTTTTTAACTCGCGATTCGAACATAGCGCGTTCCTCGATTCTTACCGTCGTCACGTTTCGACCGTCTAGCTGGTTTGCGGTTCGAAAGTTTTCGATTTCGCGGAATTGGAGGCAGCGACGGAATACGAGGGCGGCTACACCGTCGATAGCAAGGCGGTACGAAACTTCTGGCGCGTCGCCCACTCGTTACCACCGGAAAGTCAACGGAGACTTCTCCAGTTCACCACCGGAAGCGACAGGGTGCCGGTCGGTGGTTTGTCAAGGTTAAAAATGGTTATCGCCAGACACGGTCCTGACTCCGACAGGTAGGTTTCTCTTTCATCAGATTTATACCGATCTCCGTAGCGTCTAACTGTTTTCAATTCTTGGATAAACACGTCTTTTACCACTTTTACGCATTGGCCAGACGCAAATGCGAAAACGTGTGACATTGAAATATGCATTCGACTTTATGACAATTGATCATTTCTCCACATTCAATCTCCTCATAGACACATGCGTAATTGAGAAAAACGTTACTTATCGTTTCAGATTACCAACGGCCCACACGTGCTACAATGTGTTGTTGTTACCAGATTACAGTACGATAGAAAAGTTGCAGGATCGTTTGTTGAAAGCGATCAACTATTCGAAGGGCTTCGGCATGTTGTAAATGTGGATAAAAAGCTTCGATATCTCCCCCGAGTCTTTCAAAGTACGTCGGATTCCATACAACGGAATCCGGGAATCCCCCGTTTCGCCCTGCTGCTCGACATATTTATTCGAAATTTGTGCAAACGCGTGGAAAATGTTGGAAACTCGAGCTGAACATCTTCCCATCCCCTTCCCGATTCTCCTCGCTTTCATACGAAGAAAATAAAGGAAATCAGTACCTTTGATACCGAGGATACCTCGCAATCGATCGTTGTCCTCCAACCGTTTCCCCTCGTGCGAAGCGGAAACTGGAATTGCTGTACAAAAAAAAAGGAAATGAAATGTAATACAGAATATTCTTCGAGCAATAACGAGCTTTCACGTTTTTTTGCACCGTTACGTTGTTTCAAGCGGGGAAAGTAGATCGGAGAACTCGGTCTCAGAGTCTCTCGCCTGGTTTCCCATCGAGCCTTTCGTTGGACCGTTTCGTTTCCGACGCCCGAAACAAGTTTTTCACACGAGCGGCACAATGCACACGCAGCTTAAGAAGAATAGTGAGAAACGCGCTACCGTGACGAGTGAGCAATGACCGAAGCCATCGGAATTCGTAGAAGTATTAGCCGGTTCCTAGAGACGAAGCCTTCGAACGTTCACCGTCACTTTGTACACAAGTTTTCTATCCGGACAAGAGTCGAAAGAGATCCTTCTCCCCCCGGAGTCTGTATGTACGCTCTCATTTTACATCACGTTTCAGTTGACGATGAGTCAAACAAGATAGTATGCGATCCATACGATACATATAAATATATATTATAAATATATATATATAGCGTATGGGAATGATTTTGTATAAATAATAATTGGTGGCTTTCTGCTCCACGTTGTCGGCTGTCTTATCGTTAGTCGCATGACAATATATATGAAATAAACGTTGTACCGAGTGACGATTCGTGCGCCATTTATTTTCGTAGCGATCTACGTATGCACGTACGTGCGACAGGAACGGATATCTGTAATGTAAAAAATAAAGATCGGGTCGGTACCATTAGGTCAGTGCGTACCAAATGTCCTACCGAACGTCTCAATAATTTATCGATCGCTTTTCAACATTCCTGAATGATTCATGTAAATATTGTATTACAAAAATAAATGCCAGGTGTTGCGTATAAAATTATTCGGAGCATCAAGAGCTGAACGCGTCTCTCGATCTCGATGTTTAAATTTTTAAATATATATATATATTACATTCTTACACACGTATACGTATATATATTTTTAAACTTTTTATTTGTGAGAGAAAGCAGGACATGTACGCGCCGATCTAACAAAAATGAGTCGCGATATACATAAGCGTTATTATTAATTTGTATGGTATTACGTGTGTATAAACGAAACGGTTGTCAGGTGACGGGCGTAGACAGTTTCACGCGTTCCCATTTGCAACGCGTCTCCCCTCGAGGCTGAACATGAGATGAAAATTGACCGATATTCCTCCTTCCGCCGCCGCCGATGATGATAAATTGTATAATTGTTTCGAAAAATTGTTACATCGTCGATTCGAATAACAGAGGGGATCATGCATACCGTCGAGAGTGAGCAAACCGCGAACGATCATCGCGCGTCCCGTTTCCCGAGTATCAACGACCCGCAGAATCTGAACAGTTTCGATTTTGTACCAAAGTCTGATTATAAGGAGAAGTGGAACCTGGAAAATAAATGTCTTTTTCGTAATCAACAAGTAAACGGAAAATGGAATGACTCGAACGCTAAGTAGATGAAACATTCCTTCGCCCATGCCGTCAACATTTTTCTCATTCCACTTTTATGAGTAAAATGTCATTTAAATGTTAATCATTCTTCATTCAATCACGTGGGATTTTACTATTTCCAGGGTTGCAGGTTTTTTAATTGCGGCATTGACAGTTACTCGAAATCTGAATCGACAGTTGGAGTATTCTTTGATTTCGAATTAAAATTCAATCGTTCGTTCGAATCTCTTTCAATGAAGCTAATCAAATCATTTTGATTATCAGTTATCCGGATAAAAAAAACAAACGTCGATTGCTAATTGCTGTTCAACTGAATCAAATATTTACGACCGATTTCTTCATCTACAGACAACGCTCCATCCTCTAATTAACGCTGTCTGCGAGATATCTAAGACCTGTGCATTCGTTCACCTGTTTAACTTGCAGATATCGTCGCTGATGTAGTGTAGAGTTATTTCGAGAATTATAAGACTGCGAGCGCGGAGAAATCGGCCATTTATCTGCAACCCTAACTATTTCAATTCATTTCTGGAGGCTTGCTATTATGTAGAGGAAATGAGCCACGTTCACTGGCTCATCATTTCTTCTTTCTATCGTTCAATGTACATGAATTCTTCACGCTGGTACTTTGAATTTGGAATTAGTTTTTAGAAGGTGAGAAGCCCGGAAGCAGAAGGAGGCGCACGGTGAGTCCACTGTCGTCCGATCTCTGCTCCCGTGAAAGGTGCAAGACTCGTGCGAGAACTGATGGAAACGATACGAATCAGAAGTCGGGCGATTGGAACTGCGACAACAATTCGATGAGACGTTCTTTCGAAAGTATCGTTCACGAGCCACCAACCTCCGATTGGAAATGGAGAAACCCTTACAGCATTTCCGATATCGATCGATCGAAGCGTTTATACCGAAACAGCTTCACCTCAGGTACCGAATCCTTCCCGATCAATTGGGGAGTTGAGAGACGGCGGAAAAATCTGCGGTCTCTTGTAGTAAACGTTCCGATTTCTACTCACTGACTTAAGAGAGAGAGAGAGAGAGTGTCACTGGCTTTTCTTCTATAATCTTATACGTAATCTTAAGCCAGCGAATAGAAATTGAAACATTTACTACGATTAAACTGCAGATTTTACGCATTTACGGGAAAATTGAATATACAAAAAGTATCGACAGCAATGCATAAAAATATATAGAACAGTAAACGCAAGGTGCACGTTGAATCTTCTATTTAATACAGATTTGTTAAACCGATACCAGGATACACAGTTTAATTTGCATAAAAATCCGCGGTGTAGCTACGATTGATTGATTAAAAAGACGAGTAAGTGGTTTCACGTTGAATCGATTTTGATTTCGAAGGGGACGACTTTACGTCGACTTTGTTACGCGATTTGTGTAGCAGCGAGAATCGTTACAAGGATCCCTCGAAGAGTGACGCGAACAAAAATTTCTTGTACAATCTCCGCGAGTATTTGGTGAGCTATCAAGAATCGTTCGGTGTCCCACGAACGGAATACTCCTTCTCGGCTCTCATCGGCACGATGGGCCGTGCGACCGGCAGATCTCTTCTCGCGCTGTTGTACGTCATACTGAACATCATACCGGTTGTCGAGGTAACATGGCAACTTATTATTCTCGGAGAAAACGTCTTTTTACAAATAACGGCTTTAACAATAGAATTACGATTGACGCATCTCTATCAAAGGGGTAAAAATGACTTGTTTCTCAAATTAATAAGTCATTCAAGGAAAGGTAGCATGGCAATTTTTACGTTTTTATGAGCGAGAATTGAATGATAAACTGACAGAGATAATAATAGTAATTTTCAAAATAATTCAGTCAGTTTGACCCCGATGGTAGATCTAAGGTTAAAAGATATTGAAACTCATGAATAATATAATAGAAGATCTGGGAACACGTGTCGTGTCTTATACCCGCGTTCCTAAAAGGCACTTTTCACCGAACGCAATAATAATCGGACGCTATTTCAGGGTTTCAATAGACTTTATTTCGCTTGTGTATCTTCTCTTTGAGCAATTCGTGCATTTCAATGATATCCGTAGCATCCAAATAATGTGTACAAAATGAATTAACGACGATACTTAACTTTAGGGGATACACGACGATACTTTTATTTAATTCTCTTTGTTGCACGCTTACACTTTGAACGTCTAATCGTTTTGTCGGGACATTTAACGTAGAAAAACTTTGAAACGGGAAGAAAATTGTTGAAACGATTTTTAGGTGTTTCTGTACCTGTTGCGATTCGTTCTGGACAAACTGATTAGCATACGAAACAGCAAGGATTTTCGGCAGACGATGACTCGGTGCCTGGTGTTCACGACGGAATTATTCAGCGTTTATATCTGTCTGATATTCATATTCGGTTTTATCGTGTTGCCGATAGTGCACATGGTAATTGACATAGTAGCGAAGCTGATGCTCTATAATTAACTGTGTCGACGCTCGTTTAGGCATAATTCTATGGTATTAGTAATAATTGTAATGCGAATTTCCCGTGTAATTGTTGTTTGCGCGAACTTAATTAAAGAATCGCACCAACACCCACCAATTTCGTTTTCTCAATTTAACAGTCGTAATTGTCGCGAATTAAATCGTAAGATTTGTAACATACAAATTAATTTAAATCGTTTAGATCATGATCGAAGTAAACGTCTCAATTTCTGTTCACTGGCAATTTTTAACGCATAATTTCTAATGATATCCTCGAAATTGACATTGTTTCAACTAAAATATTCTTAAATCATGTATCGAGAATTATACAAAATTTGAAGATTCGGTCATTGTTGTATTCATATTTTTGCATAAGTGAAATCAAAATTTTGTCGTTCAACATGAGAATTCAAGATGTAATAACCTTTTTAATAGGCTCGCAAAATTTCTAAGATTTTGTACAATATTTTTATGTAAGGGTTCGTACATCCTTGAGTTTCGAGAAGAGTTGGTAATGATGAGAAACGAACGTGATACTCGGTGCGACTTTATTAAAAAAAAAAATATGTCGACAGACGATGGAAGCAAACGTACATCTTTTAAACATGTGAAATCATTTCCCTACGAGAATATTTCATCGTTATTCCAATTGTCTTAAACTGTACGCGTTTCCTTCCTGTAAAATTCCTATAGAAGGCTTAATTTCCATCAAGTAAGATCAATCGGCAATCTAAACTCCAAAAACTGTCCTCCGTGCACGAGAGACTATGAGATCGTGGAGCTCGTCGAGAACAAAGTAAAAAATTGTATGTATATTCTCGAGTTGATTTTCTCTTCGGCTCTTCGGCGAGTTGGAAGTCGATCTTGAAATTCGACCGTGACACTCAAGGGAACGATCGTGAAGGTCTACATACCCTACCGTGATCTCTATACGCTTACTGTGGGAGAGAAAAGAATCGAATACGGAGAACAAAACTTCAATTCCTTTCGACGGACACGTGTCACGGAAGAAAAGTGGGCACCAGTGCCTTCTCTGTAAGAAATCCGATCGCCGATCGGCACTGGTCGTGATTACATGGTCAGTTTGTACGAGTATCCGAACGACTGACCCGACAGTCTCATCAGACTTTATTAGGCCCTGGCCGAAGAAACGAGGGGATGTGCAAGATGTGTTCGTTCCCCGCCGGCGCGCTCGCGATTCCACCGCAACGTACGACAGCAGCGTGTTCGCGTTGGGCATCGTTATGCGAGCTAGACGGGGAACGCGTGAAATACGTGATCAAATGTTTAGACGACTTTAATAAATCACCGTCACGAAAAAGAAGAAGAAGAAGAAGAGCAGGGAACGGTGAGGAGCTTGGACGGAGTCCGCGGCGCCCCATCCGCACTCGAGGTCGGTCTTCAACGCTTCCAGTACCGACATGTTGTTCTTGTTCAAGCAAAACGATTCGCGCAGATCGTCGTCCCAACCGTTGTCCCAGCAATCAAATTCGTCATCCTCTTCGTCCCGCTCGAAGTTCTTGAACTCGCTGTAAGTGGTGCAACGATCTTCTTGGTACTGCCTGTGCTTCCTCTGCCAGTCTTCCATCCATCTGAACATCAAGAAAATAGAATCGTTCGAATTTCGTTCGTGCAAATGTAAAAAGTATTAAACTGATAATAATAATTTTAAGCAAAAATTTCAGGAGGCGTGTTTCGACATCGGTAGACACAGTGTTAAAATTTACATTACGACTCACCCGATGTCGCAGTCGCAAGTGAAGTAGTTTCCCGCGACGGTGAGTTTCAACAAGAATCGTTTCCCCGGTACACCCGGCTTGTACCCGTTCGACGGATTGTTCAGAGTCCGCACGTCGCTATGATGAAGATGAACGGTCACGTTCCTCACCCACTCGGCGTTATCGAACACATCCTTCGGCACGGTGCTCACGCTCGTGTTGTACATCCCGAAGTGCAAGTGCGGATTCCTTATACCCTGAAATGAGAACGCTCGTCAAGCGTCTTCTGAATCGAAGCTAATCGAGAAATGATCGAGAGAGAAACGCGTACTCGCAAAATGTCGGGACTTATGTCCTTGAGCGCGCGACCGGTCAGAGTTACGTTGAACAATTTGTTGGGGAACCTCCCTTTCATCTCCTTCTCCAAATTCGTCTCGTTTTGTACCTGCGATGAAAAACGTTTTCGGTGAGCTGAGAGAACGACGAGAGCGGCGTTCGTTTACTTCGGTAATGTTCGGAGCGTACGTCGATGACCAGGTGCCTCAGGCCGTGATTGTATTCCAAAATGTTCGGAAAATTGAAATTCTTCACGCCGTTGTAAGCAGTTATATACAACCTGCGGAGTTTCGTCGCTTTGCACAGTGCTCCGCTCTGAAACCGAACGTTTCTACTAAATTTCAGAAATCTTAATTGAACAATCGAACAGCAACCTCAGAGTAGATGAAATAAGATTCTATAATTCATTGTAAAATTATATAATAAATCTGTACGAAACAGTACTGCTCTTGTCTCTGTGTCAAACGGATCTTTGGTTCTCTTTTATACCCATATGAAGACTCACCTCGAAAATGGACAAAGACAGGCGTCGTATGTCCAGTTCCTCGAGGCTGTCGGCGATGCCTAAGAAGCTGGTGTTGCTGACAGCCGTGATGGGATTGTCAGCCAGGTTGAAAGTCTTCAGTTCGGGTAGACTGTGCGTGATCAACGGTACCACGGTCAGATCGTTCGCGCTCAGGTCCAAATAGTGCAGGGACGTCAGGTTCGATGCCATTTCCGCTGGTATCGATGCCAACTCGTTGTGCGCCAAGTACAACGTTTGCAATCGTCGCAATGGCAATTCTGGCATCTTTAATCCGTAGAAACCCGACGATCGAACATGATTTACGTTAATAGACATACAGGGTGTCCAAAACCGTTGGGACCAAACTCATGCTACGAGACCGAACGGATGAAACAAGTTCATACACCGGTTTTGGACACACTGTGTAAATGCTCGTGAGAAGGCTAGATTTTGTATTTTAAAAGCGCATTTAAATGTTTCCGTTTCCATAAAAGTTCGTGAATTATTCATGAATTTACGCACACTTAAGAGGGAGATGTTGCTCAGGTCGAGGTACAAGAGAGAGTCCTCCAACCCGTGGAACGTCCTCCCGCGAGATTCCAACAGTAACTGTTTATTATGACTCAAGTCGAGATGAGTCAGGTAGAACAGGTCCGAGAATACTCCATCGTCAAGTCTGACCAGTCGATTGTACGACAGATCCAGCCACGTTAGACTCTGGATGGGAAGAATAAATTATTTCAATTTTTGTTGAACAACAGTCTAGAGCAGGGATTCCTTGTCGCGCGTCGATTCCTTTCAGAGAAACGCTTTGACCCATCGACGTTCTTACATTTTTTTTATGAGCGTACAATGGAATCATGATACAAATAATTGCACGTAAATAATTTAAAGATACGATCTCTTTCTTGCAACGTTACGATAAATAATTAATTTTTTGTAATCAACGGGACCTTGATCACGCGGATCAATCACTGATGCATATTCGGCGATCGTCCTCTCGTCGTCAGTGACGCCCTTTAAAATTTCACCGGCCCCACTGGAAACCTCTGATCCACAATAAGACTAATCTAGATTTACCGTAAATTTCACTTTTTCATTGTCAACAGTTTCAACGAATGTTTATCCCAAGTCAAAGTATCGTAAAATGAACCAACCCTGAGCCTGAATATAGCGTCTGTCGTGTGAATTCCCGAGAGCGTGTTCCAAGACATGTCCAGCATGGAGAGACTGGCCGCTGCCGATATAGACATGATCTTAATCGGCAGCCGCATGAACTGATTATGGGACAGATCCAAGCTCTCTATACTCGCGTCCGAGAACAAGTTGTCCGGCAACGTCCTCAGTCTGTTGTGCGAGAGGTCGATGATCCTCAGCTTCTTGAGAGGTCTCAGAGCCTCCGCCGGGATGTCCATGATGTTGTTCCAGGAGAGTGAGAGGACTTGGATGTTCCTCGTGTTTCGGAAACAGTCGAAGTCGACTTCCATCAGTTCGTTGTGGCTCAGGTCGAGCCATTGTAGGTGCGGCATGTTCCCGAAGACCCCTTGGGTCACGTTGCTCAGTTGATTGTGGGACAAATAGAGGTGAGTCAGGGAATATTCGACGGGCTTGAAGTAGAACCTCATTATGTCCGAGATGTTGTTGTGACTGAGGTCGAGGACTTTGATGTTCGATTGGATCGTACCGCCGACTGGAACGCAGATCAAACAGAATTAGTGGAACGGCTTACGATTTAAGCTCGGGTTTAAACGAATTAAGACTTATGTAGGACACGTAAGCTGCCTGCATTCGAATTTATAGTAACTGTGTGACTAGGCTCGCCGATTTTTATGCCAAATGAAATTGACTTAAAAAATGATGAAAGACATTGACTTAAAACATGTGTGTTAGGTAATCGCGAGTTTCGCGATCGGACTGCGGGTCTCGCTTGCGGATTCGTAGCAAAATTGAGTTGGTAAAAGAACGTAAGAATATAGCGTGCAAAAATGCGTAGAGTATCGACTACGAAATTCTTAGCGTTCGACGGAATAGACGTAATTCGTAAAAATTAAAAAACGTCGTTTCTTACGTCGACGTCCTACAAGTTTTATTTTCCAAGAGACTCCGCGCTCTACTCGCGTGGTAAACGTTAAAAGTATATATTCGTTTCGGTAGACTCACTGGTGGTCGGAGGCGTGAATGTGGTGCTATTGATCCATAATTTTGGGATTTCGTTGTGACTAGCGTTTACTTTAAACGATGCCAAAGTTCCCACTTGATCGAACGAGGCAAAGTTGAATTCGTTCAGGTCGTTGTACGAGAGATCCAGGAACTCCAGATCCGGCAGATTCTTAAATGTACAAATTAGTAGTCCCGTTAATAGATTCGCGTTTCGATTGCGTTTAATCGGGTGTTTGAAAAATATTATAGGCCTTACCTGAAAGGCTTCGTCGGTGATGTCTCGTAGTTTGTTTCCGCGTAGATTAATGTACTTGAGGAGTTTCATGTTCATAAACGCCCGTCTCTCGATTTTGTCTACAGCGTTGTCCTCTAAATTTATCATCGTTATTTTCGGCAGGTCGACGAACGTGTGGGTCGCCAGGGTCGTGATTTTGTTGAACGCGAAATTCACCTCTTCCAAATACGAATGGATGTCACCCTGATGAAAGTGAAACGTATATCACGTTAAATTAAAAAATCTGATTTCTGCATTAGATCTGCGATCTCAGTTATCGATTGACACCCGCACTAATTATCGTGTATAGAATTCTAAACGTGTAGGATAGAAACGTGTTTCATGAACGAGAACCAAGTCGTTGAGTCATGGAACTTCAAAGACGTCGAGGACTTTGTAAATATACGTTTTACACTTTTTCACCATATACTACGTACGAACAAAAGGGTTTTTTAACCCGTGAGAATCCACTACTATTACTACTAAAGGGCATTTGACAGGGCAACCCGCCCTGAGGGCCAAACGAATAAATATCGATCTCACCTGGAACGTTCCCTTCCGGATGTTATTGATCTCGTTGTCTTGCAATTCGATACGCTTGATCCTCTTCAGAAAGTGAAACGACGTGTCCGGCAGCGATTTAAGTTTGTTGTTGCTGAAGTCGAGGTGTTGCAGATTCGTTAGAAACTTGAAAGGGGCGGTCGGTATCTCGGAAACGGAAGAGAATAATCCGTGAGCCATCCTCAACGTCAAAAGCGAATGACCGACCTGAATCAGGGAGACACCAGTTCCATTCATAATTGTTAGTCCATGTGGAATTTATTAAAATTGTCTTGATGCTTCGAAACTTATGTACGTTTGTCGGTCAAGTACGCTCGTTGTTTAAGTGATTCGGGTAACTTTATGGAAGAAGCCCGCTTTATTGGAATTATCTGCAGTTATCAAGGCCCCCGGGACGCGGTTCGTATCTAACTTAATTAAATATTACGGTAAATTAGCCCGAATCTCGTGGGTCGAACACAATTCTGATTTTCTATGGTTGCTTAACTCATAACGTACTCACTCGCGAAACGAGTTCAATTCACGATTAATTCCTCCGTTTAAAATCTTCGATCCGATTTCGAACATATCATATTAAACAGTGGAGTAGAAAATTTACGCGACGCTTATAAAATTTCTCACGTCGAAAGTCGATTCAGAAGCAGAAATGCGATCATTTAAAAAAAGCAGAATGAACAGTGACGAGTGAGTCTTTGTAATAAACAAATTCTTGATTTATTCTGAGAAATCGTCGCGACGATCTACAATTTGATCGGAAATTTTTAATGACTGCTTAACGAAACTAACGTCGGATTAAGTATTTCACGTTCGATCCGCGTTTGTAACAACGACAGAAAAGAGACGAGAGATTCGAATGACGTTTCGCGTGCACACCGACCCGTGATTACAACTAGAGCGCCTTCTGAAGAAGAAACGTGTGAGACGGACGGGATTACCTCGGAGAACGCATCGTTTTCTATCGAGGAGATCGAATTCTCAGAGAAATCCAAGTACTTGATTCCGCGGACGTGCATGAAAGCGTGACTCTTGATGGTGTTCAGGTTGCTTTTCACGATGCGGAGCTCTTTGATGTCCATCCCGTACTCCATAAAGTCTTCGGCCGAAAGCGTCGGTATCGGCATCCGCGAGATCGAAAGGAATCGCATATTTCTCATCTGTCGAAGATCCTGAAGGGACACCAATCCGTTCTTTTTACCGCTGAGGTCCAGGTGGTACAGGGAGTATTGGAATCCATTGAACACTTCAGCTGAGAGAATTTATTCAGAGATCCATCAAAATTATCGCAATTTATAATTGGTACAGTCATAGCGTTTGATCGGTGAGTCGTTCTTTAAATTAGAATTGAAACGCGAAACACATTTTAATTCTTTATTATAAATAAAAATCCGCAGTTCAATAATTAATTGGTGTTGAAAAATTGGTGTTCTCATAGCATTTAATAAATGAGATATTTCAGAATTTGAATGCGAAGCACATTTTAATTGGAAATATTTTATTTTGAACAAAAATCTGCAGTAGTGTAACGATTAGGAGAGTGTAAATTAATTTACCGGGAGAGAAGGTTTGTATCTTGTTCTCGCGAAAGATCAACGTTCGCAAGAAGTCGTACTCTTGGAAGACGGGGCTCGGGAGGGTCGTGATGTTGTTCCCCGAGAGGTCCAACAGTTCGAGGGAGGACTCCAAGCCCCTGAAGTCGGAGGAACTTACTTCCATCAGGCGGCAGTCGCTGAAATAAAGTTCCCGTATTCTCGAGTCTCTAAACGTATCCTCCTAGAAAACACATCGTTCGACATTCGCTATAACTGACGTCGTAACTTTTGGAAGAAACGTTAATAAAACGCGTCCTTAAAAATTTCTTTGTAGCCTTGCAATATTTTTAAAATTTTGCCACTGTGCGTTTTATTAGTGTAAATATCTAATAACTGTCCGATGCTTCGTCATTGTTTCCGTCTAAGGGCTCGCAGAACGTCAATATCGTCCCTGACTGTGTCTCGCAGAAAAATCGACGGTCTAGCAACGATCCGTGAATCTCACCTCGATCATCGTCAACGGGTTCCCATCGAGGTAAGTCCTGTTGACCTTCAGGAAGTGTTGAAAGTCACCGGACATGAGGCTCTCGATTTGATTGTAATCGAGCCGCAGTATGTCGAGGGACATCTGAATCCCCCTGATTTCCGGTTCCTGTTGCGGGTTCAACATCTTCGATATCCTGTTGTAACTGAGATCCAACACCTTCATGCGCTTCAAAGAGGACAGCTGGGCGTACGGAATGTGAGTCAACTGGTTTCCGTTCAGGTAGAGGTGCACCAGATGCGCCATGCCGTCCCTGAACACGGAAGGATCGACATCTTTCAGGTTGTTCTCCCGCAGATCGAGCATGTCCAAGTAAGTAAGCCCGGCGAACGCGTCCGCCGGGAGCCTGTCGATCGCGTTCCGTCCCAGTCGCAGTTTCTGCAACGAGTTCTCCAAACCGCGCCAATTGTCCGCTGCGATTTTCGATATCTTGTTACCTGTGAACAATATTATTTTTACCTCTTTTTCATCTTGTCTCACTTGTGGACAATGTCGGGTGCCCCTCTACGAGTCAGATCACACAATTCAACGAAAGCAACTTTTTCATTCTTTACCACGTGATTCACCTAGAGTTTTTCATGCCGAAGAATGAATTTTTCATGCCACAACAGATCGCCAGTCCGATCGACGATTAACGTCTTCTCTCGATTGGACGTTCGATCTTTTTATCGTCCACGTCCATTGCAAGTGCAGCTTGATCGAATTGAAATTTTTCAGTAGATCAAGCTGAACTAATTTCGAACTTTACAAATTAATATTTCCCTTGTCTATTCGACCCTCTGCATTCGACTTATTTCAAATTCAAATGTGTATCGTCGTGCCCAGCATAGCATACGAGCGTAAAGAGTTGTACTGTGTATTGTCAGAAGTGAATATGAATCGTTGAAATCGCTTCTTCTCCTTCGTAAAAAGAAGGACGTCGTAGATGCGTCGCGTGGAAGACCGACGGTACCTGTTAGATCGAGGAGTTGTAGCTTCTGCAAGTGCCTAAACGACCTGCTGGGAACCCTCTCCAGGCGATTGTAGGGTAATTCGAGCTCCCATAACGATCTCTCAAGCCCTAGGAAAGCTTCGTCCGGGATGTCGGCCAGAGGATTATGCCTGATCCGTAGGTTGTACAGACCTGAGAGATAGGAGAATGGCGTGCATGTGAAAAGTGAACCGCCACGCATCGTAAATACCTAACGTAATCGATGATGCAAGGAATTATACGTGACGGGCTCGGTCGCTGACTCTTAACCGACCTATCGAGTCTCATCGAGCAACGATCTCGTCTACGCGAAAATTGCAATTCAACGTTCCAGCAGGTTTCAAGGCCTAATCAAGGATCAATCGTCGTTTAATCGTCGATTTTAATTTCTTCCAATGAAGAATTTAATTTTCGATTCAAACCTGCGAAATGAAGAATCGAAAATGCAATTTTAATTAAACTCTCCTCGAGCTATTAAAATTTAATCGTTGATTATTAGTGGGGCGATAAAAAGTCTGCGACCCTCCAGCCGCCCGAGGTAAAGGAATTTCGGAACGAGTGTCCTGCTTAAAAGATCTACTCTATTGTTAATATTTATTTCTTAACAGAAACAATCTTTCAAATAATATTAATAAATCGAGATACAGTGATTAACACCGAATGCAAATTAAAATGACGCAGTTCCGTCGACGGACTCGAACAAATAAGAAATGACAATTGATTGTTGTCCGCCCGGGAAGCGATCCTATTCTACTCTCGTTCGTCTACCTGTGTTCATGAGAAACTGCGGCTGCAGAAACATCAATCCGTTGTTCTCCAACTGCAGCATGAACACCTTCGAGGAGTTTATGGGCTGCGGTATACGGGGCATCGGCACGTTGTAACAGGTGACTATACCGAGATCGGGCATTGCTTTCGAGCAGGTGCAAAGGGGATTGAAGAAGCACGGCGGGTATTGCACCGGTAGCTCGTGCATCCGAGCCAACGACGCCCACATCATCAGCAACAGGGTGAATATCACCATTGCGTAACCGACCTTTACCATAGTCACCAGATTCTGCAACACCATTTGTATTTCGACTCCCGTCGCACCGTTCATAGATTTCATGGGTTTCTACAAGACCACGGATTTCATGGGTTTCTACAAGATTTCGATGTGAATAGTGCGCGTAACGTGCAAAATATAAAAAAATACGATATGTGAAGTTATTTTCCAAGAGTAAATGGAATCTCAATTTAGATGTCGTTTCTTAAATTCACGTGATAGATGTTTCATTTGACACAGAAATTTCACAATATTTTCAAACTTAGAAATTTGTTTTATCAACAAAATTATTCCGTTTGCAATTTTTTAGAGGTACGAAATGTTCAATGAAATTTCATTCTTTAATATACGTATATTTTTTCTAAATGGACCAGATCAGCGGTCGAGCCTTAAGATTGGTCTAATCAATCGTTTTTCTAGATTCTTATAGTTAAGTAATTGAGTCGACAAAAGATTCGTAACGATGTCGTCCATTCGCAGATTTCTACTTCAAACGAAACTTGAATAATATCGATTAAAAGATTGCTCCTGCAATCGTGCTAATACGTATTTTGTCGTTAATGCTTTATACATACAGTTAACGTTACGTTTTACGTTATCACGGTTACGTTAATACATTTCCTCCATCGAGACATCTGGTATAAATGCATAGAAATCCAGTTTAGCTATAATCAATCTTGACGCGACTATGTAAGACCATTCATCTCGTTAAACGATTAAATAATGTGTAATTCCACGTTGACGACTTCTTCTTATTAGCGCATTTTCGTCATACGTAATCGAGGTTTAAACAGTCTTTTCAAACAAGCCAATTATCAGTTACTACATCCCGATCCTCTTACAATTAACGTTGACGCACGTGGTGACCGGCCATCGAGAATGTATAGAATACGACTTAAACTCTTTAACATAATTTTATCATTTTCATAAAAATTAATTGTGTACCGACCCGCATATAATTTTCTAATCTGATATTTCGTAAAAGTGGATATTGGACGAATGAAATTCGGATAGGGCTTCAAGAATGGGAAAATGCCATTTACTTTTGTTAATCGCTAATTTCTATTCAATATCGTTAATTTTGTTTGCAACTCACAGCAATGTTAACCGATTTTTATAAAACTTTGTGCCCGCGTATAATTTACTTAGATCTACAAACAAGATGTACCAAATTGTTATTGAAAAGTTAAAAAAATTGAAACGTCTGTTTCTTCGCGACTTCGACCGATAATTTTGATTTTGAACGAATTCTTTTTACACGTTGCACAGTGAACCGAGTCTTCTCGCGTCCCGCAGAAAAGTATGCTCTCTGATCCAATATTGAAAGGGATATTCCATTTTCCAGTGCGTTAATTGAATATCCGTTTCGTCTACGCGTTAGATAGACTCACACGAAACTGTTCACTGTCCTTTACACATCCGCGATTGCGAGTAATGAAAAACGAGTTTACCATGTTTTCCTTGGATCAAGAGAGCCTGTATCGGAGCTCGCGATCGTGGATCGTCGCGACTCGATCACGATGACCGCACTGAGGGTCCCAGGGGTTCGAACTGAGCGACCGTTCGCTGCCACCCCGTGTAATAAGGCTTCGGGAGTGTCGGACAGTTTCGGTGCTTCTCTTTACCCGATTATAAGGACGATATTCCATTAGGCAGCGAATGAAAATACTCGTGCAAAACGTCGGTGAACGTTCGAACCGTAGCTATACACGCGACCTGTCCCAGGTCAACGCTGGTCAATGCAACGATAGCGTCATCCACGTCGGATTTCGTTCTATCAGCGAACTGTCGCATTTCCGTATCTTTATTCGGTTTTATTCATGATTTAAAAGACGTGCGAGAGCCCGGAAACGTCGTTCAGGACGAGTACTTCACGGGTCGCGACGATTTCTAAAAAGTTCCGAGATTCCCAAAAATGTCGTCTAAATTTCGTCTATTGAATTTTCGAAATTTTTAAAAAGCTCGAATATTTTTGGGAATTAGGCACATTTTCGGATTCACATTGCCTAGACGAAAAAAATGTTTCTTTCACACAAGGAAACAACAAATCAGTAGAATGTAAAAATGTTTATTCGGGGTATACAATATTCGTATCGCACATCGTCGGAGAATTAGAATCTTTGGTTTGTTTAAAATACAGGAGAGAATTTAAAATTCGTAAAACTGAGAAGACGCTTTGTGACAAACTTGTAACATCATACTCACGTAACATCGCCGTGTTTAATATACTTCCAAATATTCGAATGAAACATCAACGTCTCGTAAACATCTGAATTTACTTCAATGGAATCACGATCGCAATAGATATATTTCAATCGATTCGCGATAATACTAAAATATAAAACTGCAAAAGTGGCTTAGAATCGAAGCCGTAACGAAGACGTTACGATTCATCGATCTTTTTTATTCACACGATAAACACCGTGCAGAGAGAACCCGGAAGGAGTGGTGCGTGACGTCGAAGGAGCCCGTAAAGTCCTGTGAAGATCGATCAAGGTAAAATGGAGTCTAAATAGAAATTTCACTCGCAACGACATACATTACTCTAGCCTTATATATTTCTTCCACGCCATTGAGCTATATAAAACATCTGTAGTGTACGCGGTTGTCAGAAGTCGTAAGGATAGAAAAGTAGCTCAAAGAAGCGAGAATCTCTAGAGGAATCTTTATCCTTTCTTTTATAGTCCCTGTCTCTATTTGTATTAACTTACAGTAAATTTAGCTATGGTGGGGATAGAAGTTTGATATTCGATCGAATCACTTGAATCTATAACATTGTCAACAACTCGAAAATATTACGCAATCATGTGCTTCACGCGTCTGAGTTCAGCAAACATGCATTATACACCTAGAAATTCCTTCACGGTTCCTCTTTGTCGACGAATATCCCCTACCCCCCACCCATTCGTTCACATTGATCAGATGTTTTATATAGTTCAATGGTCCACTCCACGCACTGGTACACTATACGCACTCAGTTTTCTACGAATCGAAATCTTGCATAAATGCATAAACAGCAGTTTGAATTGCGCGCGTCGTTCATCGTGAAATCTGAAACGATTCCGAATTGTGCGTATGCTCAGAAATGTACGATTGCCAGACTGCGGATTTTTAAACAACGTTCGTGACATCGGATGAAAATCGTAAATCGTAGGTAGTCGTTAAAAAACATTGAAGCAAGCGTTCAGCTATTGATATTCGGGATAATTTAGTAGACTACCACGCAGCATTCCGCTTTCGTGTAAACGCGCGAAATCCGCGGTCGGAGGATTACTCGTTCACGTTCCGTATAGAAAACAGACTTTTTTCACGCTCGACATAGAATTTGTACCAGTAACACGTCGCAACAGTAAATATCAATATTCGTATATATAATATAATATGTACGTGTGCGTGTATATAATATGTACATAATATTTGTATGCGCGTTAAAACGTTCGTAAAAAATATTTATCTCTCATCACTCGTTTATTTTCTCGTTCGCCCGCGTCCAACAGGATTTCACATGGAATTGCGCACGGTTCCGTTCGTCAATTCCTGAGACACCTTCGACTCCTCTTCGCTTCTTTTCTTGTACGCCGGGACTTTCGGAAGACGCGGTGCTAACGCTATTATAGCTAAACCGATCACGTGTGGAAACAGATAGAAATACCTGAAACAGACAAATAAATCGATATGTAAAAATACTGTTTCACCGAAGATGAGAATCTCCTCTAAGTCAACACTAGGTTCGCAATGCGCGTCATTCTGACCCGTTCCACGTTTCAGGAGGAAAATTACAGAAACCGTCTGCATTTTCCTTCTACCACTCGTACTGACTATCGTGTATTCAGCGAGATAAACATATACTAAAATTCTTCAGAGCTTTCTAATTTTCACGGAACGCGTCAAATTGACGCTGTGATCTGATACGTGAGAAATGTTCATAACCCTAGCGTTAAGATCGAAAGAGGAGACCTGGAACGTTCGCACCTGACGCGAATTTCTCGTAGACGGTACTTACAGGTACACATTGAGACTTGGTAACAGCTCCAAGAGTATGAAGCTGAACGTCATGTAGGCCATTAAGACTCGCGTCGCCATGAACGTAAGTGCATCGTAGAGGAACTTCATTCGCTTGGATCCTAAGAAATGCGGTCGTACTTTACGGCGACCCTGTAACAAAAATAAGTCAATGCGGATCACTGATTCATTGGTGACTACGTTGTCGCGGGCTCTTATTCAAACATTTCGTAAACGAAGAGTTCACATGTTCTAAAGAATCTGTGAATCTTGTCAAAGCGTCAAAATAGATGATCTGGTAAAGTATACTTACAATGCGCGACACAACGGTGAAGAACGCTCCGTTGGCGAACGTTAAATAGTAACCGGGGTAGAAACCGTGCCACAGGGCGGACAGGGCGTATGTTAACGCAACTTTATCGTGCTTCACTCTATCGTACATGACCGACCTAAGCCACCTGTTCGTCCCCTTGTTCCAGTGTTCGATGCTGTCTCTCAGGTTGAGAGACATCTGAGATAAAAAATGATTTTACAATTTCAAGGACGCTCGATGGAAATACGATTGTATACCTTATTATTATAGGTCAGTTTGTGATTTTCAAAGGATTCTACATCGAATAGACAAAAGTCATAATAAACACAGAAGAATTGTCAGATTCAATTCGGATCGGTATTGTCCGTGACTCGTACTATGAACGTGGCTATAAATCTAAAGATCTAGATCATACTTGTTGTGGCAGTGCCAGAGAGTGAAACTTGTTAAAGATCTAAGACAAAATGAATTCTTCCTATTCTTAAATCGCAGAGACGATAATTGCAGCATCTAATACTCCGCCATGCAACTATACATATATTTATACACGCGTTCTTAAAAGATCGTAACTGTTGCATACAAAAGTGTTCTTTATCAGACGACTGCCAGGTCTATTTATAATACTAATCGTACGACACATGTAGCTGTAATAAATCTCGATTCACGTTTCATGAGCTCAATAAAAAAAGAAAAAATAGACTTGGATTTTACCTCGAAACCGTAAACGTCGACGTTGGATATCAAATCCCACTTGGGTTCACCGTTGGCATCATACCCACTGAACCCAAGGCCGGAGTTATTGCAGATCGCATCGGCGAATATCCAAGCGTGGTAATACTTGAAACGAACGAGCATGGTGGCTACCATCAAGAACCACATCTTGGAGAACGCCGTCGTGTTCTTTAGGAAGTCATCATCTGGAAACAAAACGGGGCCGCGTCGAACGAAGCGTGACTAGACACGGTGAATGCTCCACCCATTTGAATCATTAGCGCGTGAGTGCGAAGAGACCGAATCGATACGAAGGATCGTTTGAGATCATTCATCGATTTTATCGTAGAGCATTGAAACATGTATTTTGGTTCGACGATGTTCGTACGATTCAAACAGGTAAGAGAAAGGAGAGACAGCGAACCTTTCAGCTTTGAGATCGGGTACGCCGGAATGAAAGTGACGAACATAGCGGCGCACAGTAAGCTCACGACGACCTTTTTTATTACAACCTGCGTCGGAGATGGTTCCAAGACTATTTCGCCGTACGGACCGGTATTTTTGTCGCAGCCCTGAAATAATAATTACGAACAAAATCGTACTGCCCTCCATGCTCCTCTTTGCACGTTTCTCTCTTTATGTTGATAAACAGTGAGAAGGGAAAATAATAATGATTGAAAGAAATGATCTAACCGTTAGAGCTTTCGATCCGGACAAATTACGTCCGTGAATGAAATCGATGTAATCGCGATAAAATATCACCGGTCCGGCCATCAACGCTTGAAAGTGGAAGACGTAGCTGAAGTACTCTAACGTCGTCGGCATCTTTCTAAAATACACAAACAAATTGGATTTAGCCGAGCAGAGGCGAAACACGGTTGGCGTGTAAAAGATGATCGTGCCAGCACAGCTTCTGATACTAGTCATTAATAAAAACTTGATCACGTGTTTTTAAAAGCTTTACCTAGCAATACACTGAATTTGCGCAAAATCTATTAATCCTATTATAGGATAGAACCCTCGACATATACCTAGATGCGTATGGGGCGTAGCAATTAATTTTTATTAATTTTTGCAAAACTCTCTTGACCATTGATCCAACTCGACTTAATGGGAGACCCTAAAAGTTTCGACCAATGTAATTTCGATCACGCGTCAATTTCGACTCTTTCCCCAACCGAACGTTATGCACCGCTGCCCTGTATATCGTGCGCACCATAATTAACAATTATCGTCATAATTAATATTGTAGGACGACTGATTAAGAAAGACATCGACTCACTTTACGGCTTGATGACGCTGCGTCGGCGTGAGTTCCTCATCGGTTCGCGTTAATCCGTCGTGCACGCTGAATGCGAGGCTGGTTACCTTCTGCGTTATCACCATAAGTGGCCCTGCAATGCACGCGACCGATCTTTAATTAGATATGCATTTTTTTATTAGAAAACAGGCCTTGCGTATCCTGCCGTACATATATTATCTCTATTTGAAAAATAAAGGATTTCGTATCGTATCATAAAAGTGATTGCGTGGATGAGAGAATAGTTAAGAATCAGAAGTGTAAAGGTACAGTGATGACGAGCCATTTCCCCGACTGTAGTACTACATCGGATGATCCCTCGATCCCTACTACTACTACTACTACTACTACTACTACTACAGACTTTCAGTACCGGAAGTAAGCCTATTAACGTTTTCTCTTTCTTGTCCAAGCATTCTTATTTTTACAATTTATAAATGCAGTCCTACGTGACGATTCGGAAAATGAAGTTCGCTCACATTTAACGGGACATCCCTTGGAACATGATTTTCGACACTTGTTTTCTCCGAATCTCACGCGTAAAAAATTGAGAAAAAAATCGGAGATTACCTAGCACGTGCCTAACATTATTAAAGGACGGAACTAGGCGGGTCGAAATCAGGAGTTAAAAGGTACAGAGGGGACGAAGCAAAGAACACCGGACGTGTGCTAAAGGAACTCATCGAACTTATCTCGACTGCGAGAGTCTACTCACCGGTGATGTCGAGAGTGTACGAGGCGTAGCTGTACATCTGTCGGTGGTAAATGTTGACAAAATCCGACCATCCCAGCGTCGAAACGGCAAACTTTTGACAAAAAATTTCGTTTTTCCTTAATTACTCCTAAACCGTTGAATCTACGCGAAAATTGTATCAGACCTTTCTTGTACAGGACGACGAGATCTACAATTTCTGTATAAAAAGATTTTGCTAGCATTAATATTTAACGAGTTATTTGCAAAAAACGAAAAAAACAATTTTTTGCAAATAACTCGTTAACTATTGACACTAGCGAAAAATTTTTACATGGAAATTGTAGATCTCGTCGTCCTCTACAAGAAAGGTCATATGCAATTTTTCCGTATGTCCAACGGTTTCTTGGGAGTTATTGGCCAAAAACGAAAATTTGAAAGAAATTAAAGGGGTGTACCCGTTGGAAAAATCTCGGAAGAATCGAAATTTTTTTGTTATTGTTTATTATTAGCAATGTTCTTTCGACGTCTGATTTCTTTTTAAAAAATGCGTTTCTAAAGTGCATAAACTTTTGGGATTGACTGTATAGCCAATACATCGCGTTGCACGTTTCGTATGCATTTATCGCATATGTGTATAGAAGAGAGTTAATTTGCTCTTCTCAGACTTTGTTCCCCCACTCATTTAACGCTGCTCGATATCGCAAATATTTAGCAAGAAAAAAGAGAGGGCACAATGATTAACTTTTTAATCGTCTCCAGGAATAACGTAAAGTACATATTTATAACTGAATCACAAGAATCTCCCTATTGACAATATGAGTTATATTAGTACTTTATACAGGGATTTCATCACGATTCACAGAGGAGAACGTAAACATGAATGAAGTAAGAATCTTGAAATTGAATAAAATTTCTTTCTCCCCAATTGGGAAAAGTCTTTGTGCTGCTTTGCAGCGTACGAAATTATCTTTAAACTTAATGAGATGCGGCATCGTCGATGACAAATACGTTCGCGACATTTGTAATCGTACACCATTTACCTCTGTATGTAGCGGGGATCTTGCGTGCGCATGGCTATGTAACATATCGCAGGGAGGCCTGCGAGGTGTATCGCCTGTCTGAAAAAATACCAATTCCGCTTCTTCTTTAACGAGGCGATTTATTATTGATTCCTGACTTATTTATTATTTCACCACGTGGGTCTGTTTACCTGCCGAAGCAGAAATATCCAAGCGCGAGGCCGATGACGAGACCAAACACATGTCTGGTGGCTGCCGTTACGGCGCGTGGGCTGAGAAACGTTCGCAAAAATCCAGCCAGCACCAGTGCCGTGAACTGCGTCACTAGGAAGTTCACCTGCACATAACAAGATCACCACGTTACAATCGTTATGTCTTAAATTCGCGGTCAATCGCCGAATATTATAAAGGGAAGCGTATATGGGAGAGTGAAAGTCGACACGGGGCGGTCGCGGGAAACAGCCTGGAAAGAGAGCGAATATGCGCCGATGATCATTATACCTGTTGTAAATCTCTAAATTTATCAATCGCCACTTTAAAATCATTATAAATAGTAGTATAAGTAGGAGTGTCGTAAGATACATTAATCATTATTACCGGCGATCGAGGTACACGACTACTTTTATCGGAGGGGTCAAAGTTGTTTTTCAAACTAGCAAGTCATTTAAGAAAATACATAGCAATTTTTACGTACTTACCAGTGAAAATTAAATAATAAACTGACAACGATAATAATAACGATAATTTGCAAGATAATTATGCTTTTAACCTACGTTCCGTGGGGTCGAAATGACTCATCACGGTATAGTACATAGGTATACTGCATAAAATTTTACATCAGAGACAAGAAGAATATGAAAACAGCCCTAGTGTGAACTTGCAAATCGAACGACGCTAAGAATAATTAATTATAAATTATGTCTCAACTGAAAGAAGCCACCTCTTGTGTTTTTCATGTTGTGAAAGAGCTTTATAGCACAAAGAGGTATATTCCGTAACAGGAACTCTTCCAAGGGCTCATTTCCTTCGACCTTCTTTGACGACATCGGCATTTTTTATGAAAATGTACATCGGGATATGCTGAAACGTAACAGTCTCGCGTGTAATAGTCATCTTTTGTTTTCAACACTACCGTTACATTACCGTTTTTCATAGCACTCGAAATATCTTATGGCATCATAAGATTTGCGATGAAAATTTTCCAAGTTTGAGAAATGAGACATGGTGAGAGATGATCGCTCAGCAACAAATCATCGTGATTCTTCTTTTAAATTAAAGCTTGAGACCTCTACTGTAAAATGCTAGTCGGAGATTCTTAATTTGATTCTGATGGATCGGTGAGGTCGTAAACCACGCGATTAAACGTGCGAAAAATGTAACATTAATAAGTCTTAGTTCTACATAAGTCCAAAGCAAACGAACTTTGCGAACGATCGCGGATCGCGCTTATTTATTACGCAGCTTTGATCTTTGACCGACAACGTATCGTGGACATTAGAATAATTAACGATAAGAGAGAGGAATTTTTTTCACCATCGCGAGAACTAGCTTCGTTTCCTGTGTATCAGTCGGTTTCGCGAGGAAGAACCGGATTAATCCCGCTGCAATAACAAAGGGGGTGCACGTACAGTCAGTCACGAAACGTCTTCGTACATCGCACACAAGTATGCACGTACTGGGTGGAACAGAGAATCCATCTCACGAATCAGATGTACGAAGACTTCGATGCTGACTGTACGTAATCGATGTTCTGATCGATGTCAGATTCGATGACGCGAGTTCACGATCTGTCAGTGTATGATTGATTCACGATTACGTCGTAAGCGGTAAAACGTCTGGAAACGGTGAAGGCCCGAGAATTCTTGATAAGTAACTGTTGCCCGTAAGGGACTCCCCGGCTCACAAACGAACGACGCTCGGTTGTGCGATGTTACATTAGGTCTGTCACTGACACACTGCGTATTTCCATGCGAAATAGAACATTTATAATGTTAATTTAGGAAACTCATCGTCGGAGAAATACGTGAAGAAGAAATACTACAAGAATGTTCATTGACGTTCCTTTTATCCCGTAGAAATACTAATGTTAGAAATACTATTATTATTTCAACACTGAACCTGCCATGCACGGTCCGAATGACCGTTTTTGAAAATTCAAACTTAAACAAGATTTTTATTCACGTTCTGTACGATCCCTACTGTTTCCTACAATTAGTACCTGTGCTGCTAACGCATAATAGCCTGAACGATAGAAGAAGTAGTGGGAAAAGTTCGGAAGATGACAAGGTTCAGAATGAGTAATGGTGACTTTGGTGACTGGCTATTGGATTAGATAAGGGATGAAGCAGCTTAGGTACATGTTTACGGATGAGACATCTTTAGATATATAAATGACATAAAAATATCTACGTAAATAACAGTTGTTATGTGT